AAGCTGGGGGGGACTTTTTCCAACAGCAGAGAGTGACAGGACAAGGGTTGACAGGTTTAAACGGGCAGAGGGAGATGGAGATGGGACATCAGGAAGGAATTCTTCCCGCAGAGGGTGGGGAGCACTGGGACAGGTTCCCAGAGAAGCTGTGGATGCCCTATCGCTGGAAGGGTTCAAGGCAACCTGGTCTATGGAAGGTGTCCCTGCCATGGCAGGGGGGGGGAATGGGGAGCTTTAAGGTCCTTTCCCACCCAAAGCATTCCTTGATCCTTACCCTTCTGCCACTGCTCTGGTGATTTTTGGTTTTGTTTTTTCCTCTTATTTCCCCTGGGATTGCTGAGTACACACTTAGATCTGTTCTTCGAAAGTGGGATGTAACTGTAGTTTCTTTCTGTTCCTCTGTCATGCTCTGCCCCCAGTTCCTTCTTACTTGCTCTGTTGCTTCATATGCAGCTGCAGGAGCGAGCCCCTCAGTGCAATGCTCGCTGAAAGCTGCTCTTAATCCCACAGATCCTTTGGAGGTCACGGAGGAACTGAGCAACAGTAGAGGGCTTTAAGATTCTCTCTTTTTTTTTAGCATTATTGCTGCAGAATCTCTTCTGGCCCACTGGCAAGTTGGAAGCAGCCCACAGAGCTGTTCCCGTTGCATAGGTCTTACCCCTGAAGCCTGGTTAGGTGTCTGGGTGTCAGTCCTTAACAGGTAAAAGCTGATGGCTCCAGGAACACGTAAAGCACGTTCTTCTGCCAGTTGTGGTTCTGTAGGGGCTTGTCTCCACATGCTGTCTAGGGAAATAGCCCTCAGTTGCTGAGGTAGGCAGTGTGGGTACTCTCCCAGATGTGGAGCTCTCCCAGAGTGCTGGCAGGAGTTGGATATTACTGTAAATATGTCCTTAATAGAAGTGGGTTTGAATCTCCCCTTGTTTAGTTCCCTTGGCTATTGCTTAGTTCTGGCATGCCGTGTGTTTCAGGACTTTCTGTGCTGTCTGTCTGTCCAGCTGCAGTTGGTTTTCTGGCCGAGGATCACCTTTCTTCCTGTTTTCACTCAATCTGTTTATATGGCCCCAGTGTTTTCACTGACCCTTTCAAGCCAGTAACATGGGAGGTTTGAGGTTTCTGGAGTGCTTAGGTAGGTGCTAGGTGTGACTGTTACAGGCTGTTTACAAGAAACAGATGCAATCAGGCCTGAGGTGTGAGACCCCAGGGTGTGTAATACGTGAAAGCCACGGGCATGGAGACAGCAGTTATGAACCATAAGCCTGTTACTTGGCTCCTGAATTGACTGTCAGGAGTTTAAAGAAATAAAACCAGCTTATTTCTCTCCTGGACTACCAAGTATTTGAAATCACTTTCAGAATGTATCTTAATGAAAACGTCCTGGTTACTGTTTCATCTCGGATCGAAATTTGCCGCTGCTGTAGGGGTCGTCTGTTTGGTTTTAATTGGTTCAGCGGAGAGGAAGTATGTGAACAGCACCACTGGGATAGGAGTGGAATACTGCTGCAACCCTGAGGCGAATACCGAGCGCAGCCATGTGTCTCTGCCTGGGAGAGTGACGTAATGAGGGCCAGTGTTGTATTAAATGGGACAAAATGGCCTGACCTCAGCTGCCGTATGCCTGTGGCAGACAGGGAGGCGTGAGGTGTCCCAGAGGCGCCTCAGATCTGTAGGGCACTGCTGCCTGAAAATGTCACGTGATGTGTACTGTCTCTGCTTCTGCGGGTGTGTTCTCCACGTGGATTTTGTCTTCACAGGAATGGTCACACGCTCTTTGGTGTCCTAAATTACACCAGAACTCCGGGTGGAAGTCGAAGGCTTAGATCCAATATCCTGGAGCCGCTAGTTGATGCTGAAACAATTAACACGAGGCTGGACTGTGTTCAGGAATTACTCCAGGATGAGGAGCTCTTTTTTGGTCTCCAAGCAGGTAGCAGTTTCTTTTGTCATACGCAGCATTCTATTTCTTTTTAAGGATTTTTTCTAATCATTAACAACATGTGACTCTGTGTTTGAAAAGTGTTTCTGTACCGATTTGTCACTTGACACCCATAGTGGACACTTAATTTTTTCAAAGTGATCTTTATTGTGACAGTGATATTTCGATGAAGGATTTTGCTGAGAAAAGTGAGTTTCTCTGGTGAAATGGATAGAAGTCAGTGAGCCCATAGCTTTTTCAAAAGCTTAAGTTTCTCCCTTAGGGATCATACACGTGCACGTCACGTCTGCATTAAAAACAAGTCAGGGCATCGCTGACCTAATGCTTTCTGTGTCTGTGGGGTTTTTCTGTTGCTTCCTAAAACACAGTGGTGCAGACAGAGGTAACAGAAATACAACACCAGGGTGTGAATTAGACTGCGGAAGTTGGATCATGTGGTCTTAATCTTTACCACAGGAGAACTTGGATTCAACCAAACAAAAGAATATTGCTGCATTAATACGGCCCACCTGCACAACAGTCACAACATGCTTAGGTGTAGTGAGCATAGCTGTGTCAGAATCACTGAGACAAGTTATTTTTAACCTGGTCTTTTCCCTGGTAAGAAATTGGCGGATGTAGAACGAAAGAAACAGGATCAGCGTCAGTGTCATCGTGTCATTCTGTGCATTTAAAACCAAGTAGATATTTTAAAACCAAGATTGTATGACAATTTCCGTTCAATTTCGGATCTGTTTACTTTTGGTTTACAGTTATTTCAAAATTCCTGGATACGGAACAACTGCTTTCGGTTTTGGTACAAATTCCAAAGCAGGATACAGTATGTATTACAGGGGTAATGGGTTTAAACGGGAAGAGGGAGATTGAGATTGGACATCAGGAAGGAATTCTTCCTGAAGAGGGTGGGGAGGCAGTGGGACAGGTTGCCCAGAGAAGCTGTGGATGCCCCATCCCTGGGAGTGTCCAAGGCCAGGCTGGATGAGGCTTGGAGCAACCTGGTCTAGTGGAAGGTGTCCCTGTCCATGGCAGGGGGTGGGACTGGGTGGGCTTTGAGGTCCCTTTTTTTTTTCTGGGATTCGGTGCGTGGAAATACACCTTCGATGGTCAGTTACAGGCTATAACGTGCAATATGCAAATGTGATATTTATAGATAGGCATGATGTGCTCATAAAAAGGCTGCACCTTAAAAAGACACGGAATAATGTCGTAGATGGTGAGTGGATCTTATTTCACAGCAGTAGACGATTCTCATGGAATAATGTTACACATCAATATCACATTCATCTTCATGTATGCAGATGGCTTCCAAACATGTTTACTCTTCCTGGCTCCCCACCTTCATTCTCCACAAATGTACATCCTTGTGCATACTGCACAAGAGGGGAATCTTCACAGCTGCATAAAAGGAAGAAGTGGATAGGAGAAATCTATTCTCTTATTTTTGGGCGTTGATACAGTTCTTGATAGCCTTATGAAAACTAGGTGTCTTTCTTACTAGGCATGAAGTCATTTCTTAGCTTTTGTGTGATACAAATCGGTGGGAATTAGTCTTTGTCGCCTGAGAAAATGGTGCTTCTGAAGAACCTTCTTCAAAACCGTGGCTTAGTTGTGGTGGTCATGCAGAGCAACTTACGTCTGGGCTTGGTTACACAGGCCGTCGTGTGAACGTGCCGTGCCAGGAATGGGAATTACTTCCCTGCTAGTTTCCAAGGCACAGACACTCTGGGCCTGGCGAAGTT